AACTTCCCAATTATGTGCATGGAGGCACCCCATTCAACAAAGGCACTCAACTTTAACTCACACTGAGAACTGGAAAGCTCGAATCTGTCGTGTCTCTGGTGCCCCAGCTTCCTTTTGTTGGGTTAAAGTTCCTTCCACAGTGATCTGAAGAAAGACCCTAATAACACTGCACTACCTAATAACACTGGCTCTTCTTTCTCTGTGAGCTTCCCCCTCCTGCTTCTTGTGAGATGGCTCATTGGAAACCCAGCAGGTGGCCCTCTTTTTCCAGTTCCACGTCTATAACCTGGCTAACAATCAGTCTCAACTGAATCATATACATCTTACCAGCATCCTCGCCCACATTTTCTTACCCAGACCCGTCAGGAAGAAGTTGTTTGATGGGATTTATAAAAACTGGCTGGGTGAGCCATATCAAGTTAATTATTGTACCACACAGGTATTACCTTTTGATTTAACCTCATATAGTTTTAATAGGTTTCACCTGATATCATGATACTAAAATGTAACATTGCCTTTTAGTATTTTGATGCAAATATCTAGTAATGGACTTAATGATATGGGAGGTGCAGGGGCAACGAGCTGTTTAATGTGGCTTTTCTAGCCAAAGTCTGTAATTCACACCAAAGATCTTTGGCTGCACAAGTCTGGTAAGATCTTGGGGAAAGATACTCAGAGGATTCACTTGTGAGTAATTGGGAACAGTATTCCCTGTACTGGCATCCAACTATGTTTAAAATGAGCCCTCAGAGAAGCTGGATGGGGGATCCATCCTTCCTTCCTTCCTTCCTTCCTTCCTTCCTTCCTTCCTTCCTTCCTTCCTTCCCTCCCTCCCTCCCTCCCTCCCTCCCTCCTTCCTTCCTTCCTCCCTCCCTTCCCTCCCTCCCTCAGACCTCAGACCCAAGATTCCTGTGCAGTGAACACCCCGGATCCAGAAGACGGACGCACTATCAGAGAAGCAACACAAACCTGAGAGCCAGAACATGGAACAGTGGTGGACTTCCCATTTCATGGCACAAGTCAAGTACAGGAGGCTGGCTTGTGGAGTGGGGTGCCTGTGAACACTTAATTGAAAAAGTTGGGCTTGCTGACCTACCGATAAGAAGCTGAGTGTCTCTGGGCACTTAATTCAGGGAGTTGGGTTTGCTGACCCACAGAACTTAAGTTGAATGCCTTCAGGTTAAGGCCTATAGCAGAGTGGTGTATGCCCTTTGGGCATTTATTAGCAGACTTGACAGAATTTTGTAACATATCCTGATAAACAACTCAACCTTCAACAACTAAATCATCATTTTGTCACTGTTGTTAAAATGTCTTCCAAGTTTCAAATAAGTTTTGGAACATATCTATTTGAGAAATATTCGCAACTCCTTGCTTTAATATATTTTATGTAAGCTTTGCTTTTAATTTTGTTTTTTCCCTTTAATTATTTCACAGTGCTTAAAATTAATATATAGTCAAGGCAGGTAAGACAATGTTTAAGTCTATACCAATGTGATATCTCAGTTCAACACCTTCCATTTTTGCAGTCATAAAATCAAACTTACATTTTAATAAGAACTTTGTATTGGTATGATTTCTCTCTCTGGAATGTATGCTACAAAAATGAACGGTTACTTTAACAATTTAAGAACTTTAAGAAATCGTCATTTGATCATGCTTTCTAGGTTTTACATCATGTTTTGACTTGTTATTCTTTCTCCGTGTTTAGTTTAACTCATTTTAGAATAAAATTTTCTTATACAGAGATGAAGAAAGCATATATAATTTAGTGTTATAGCTATTACATTTCGATTACTATTGGACTAACACTGTGTGTATAAAAGTATCATGTAAAAATAGATATGAAAAATGAATCTATTAGATTAAGCATATGAAAGTTTTTACCTGGAATTTAGTGCTGGAAAAAAAGTAGTGCTTAACGATTGCTGAAGAAAAATGTGAACATAAGCAGATGTGATGAAGAAAGCTGATGATGCCTGGCTACCAAAAGATATAGCATCTGGGGTCTTTAAAGGCTTGAAGACAAAAAGCGGCCATCTAGCTCAGAAGCATCAAAGCCCACGTGGAAGAAGCACACCAGCCTGTCTGACCACGAGGTGTAGAAGGAATCAGTTATTCAGCATCAAAGAACTGAAAATCATATCAGTGGGTGCCCGCTTTACTGACACAATCACTGAAGACCAATGTGTGCATAAGCAAATGTGGTGAAGAGAGCTAATGGTGCCCGGCTGTCAAAAGATATAGCGGCTGGAGTCTTAAAGGCTTGAAGATAAACAAGCAGCCATCTGGCTGAGAAGTAACAAAACCCACATGGAAGAAACACAGCAGCCTGTGTGGCCATGAGCTGTCGAAGGGATCAGGTATCAGGCATCAAAGAACAAAAAATCATTATCATTGTAAAGGTGGGTGAGTGCAGAGTGGAGACTCAAAGCCCATCGGTAGGCAACTGGACACCCCCTTACTGAAGGGTTGGGGGGGGGGGATGAGCCAATCAGGGTGCAGTGTAGCAACGGTGAAACATAATAACTTTTCCTCTAGTTCTTAAATGCTTCCTCCCTCCCACTATCATGATCCCAATTCTACCTTACAAATCTGGCTAGACCAGAGGATGTACATTGGTACAGATAGCAACTGGAAATACAGAGAATCCAGGACAGATGACTCCTTCAGGACCGGACCATTGGTGAGAGTGGCAATGCCTAGAGGGTGGAGGGAATGTGGGGTAGAGAGGGGAAACCGATTATAAGAATCTACATATAACCTACACCCTGGGGGATGGACAGCAGAGAAGAGGGCGGGGGGTGGGGGGTGAGGACATGGACGTCGGACAGTCACTTATGACAAAACAATAATAATTTATGAATTATGAAGGGTTCATGAGGGAGTGGGGAGTGGGAAAATGAGCAGCTGATACTAAGGGCTAAAGTAGAAGGCAAATGTTTTGAGAATGATGAGGGCAACGAAAAAGTACATATGTGCTTGAACAATGGATGTATGAATGGATTGTGATAAGAATTGTACGAGCCCCCAATAAAATAATTTTTTAAAGAGTTGTGTTTAAGACTCTCAGTCAAAATAATTGCTTGGTATTTAAGCAGTAAAGAAATGGATTTTAACATATTAATTTTGGGATGAGAATGTCTGGAATAAAGTGACCTTTTGGCAGTAAGAGCAGCTAGCAACTAAAAATTATCCGGTACAAGTTTGTCACTGAAGCTACACTTTTCTATTTGATTGAACATGTAGTAAATAGCTTACGGGAAGCATGGTTTTTAAAAGGAGAAAATGAATGTTTACAGGAGACAAAACAGTAGAATAAAGACATTTTATTTGCTGTGACATCTGAACAACAGTGCAGTCACTAAATATGGAATTTGACAATTGCATTTATTATGGAATTTAACAGTTGATCTTTTCTGCATTCATTTACATTGAGGTTTTAGGAAGCAGAATTCTTGTCGGGTTCCATCTCTGCTTTTCACAATTTGACGTTCACTTTTGCAGTATAACTGAAGATATTTACTAAGTTAATGAATGAACCCTTATTTAATACATGTAACAAATACAAGAAATGGTCTATACATGTGTTGCCATCACTATTATAAAACTTGCCTGTTCTGTGAGGTCTTCCCCCCCCACACACACACACCGTTAGATCTCACAACTCTTTAGTTACTTTGAGGTATTAAAAAAATCTCACTTTCAGAGCATACAAAAAAAAGCCTGGCTGACTTTAAATTAAAATCTGCATTGTGTATCCTCATGGTACTAATATTCTAGTGGGAAAAAGACAGTAGGGCAGTAATAGAAAAGACATTACATGTCAAAAAAGTGATAACATCTGAGGAGGAACAGTGGGAGGAGGATTGAAGTGGCCAGAGGTCATGTGACATTTTTGGTTGGTTGATGAGTTACTCACTTGGTGGCACTGAGTGGACCTGGAAAGCGTCACTGAGAAGGGTGACCTTTTGGGTCAAGTCCTGCAGAGAGAGAGAGAGAGAGAGAGTCCTGGGACGGCCTTCGAGAGGAGCACATCAGGCAGAGGCATGGCTGATGCAGAGGCCTTGGGGTGGAGTGTGGTGGACCAGTGATGCTACTGTAATTGAGAGATAACAGGAAGTTAAATTGGACAGGCATTGTAGGTCATCATCAGGCTTTGGCGCTTAATACAGGTCGGACAAGGCTTTGCACTAGAGGAGCAGTGTGACCAGATTGACATTTTCTCCCATTTATTTCCCTGGCTGTCTTAGAATAGACTGCTGCGGGGGGAGGGTGGGCGCAAAGATGGACGCAGGAATGGCATTGTAGCCTTGGAGTAGAGGAAACAGGTCTGTTATCTACAAGACTGTGATCTGTGTTGTACTGAGAACACCTGGCTTAAGGCTCCCTGTGATTGTCAAATCCCTGTGATTGTCAATTCTGACTCGTTGCAACCCTGTAGGGCAGGGTAGAACTACCCTTGTGGTTTTCTGAGATTGTAATCCTTTATAGGAGTAGAAAGCCTCGTCTTTCTACTGTGGAGTGGCTGCTGATTTTGACCTGCTGATCTTGTGGTTAGCTACCCAACATGTACCTCTTGCCATCAAGTAAATTCCAACTCATTGCTGGTGCCAGTGCGGGAGTGCTGATTCATGTGATCTCATACAGGGTTTTGCAGTGGCAGGTTGCTTTGGGAGCTTTCCTTCCCCAGAATGTACATGTGTGTTTGTGTGTAGAACAAGAAAAGTAATAAATGGGGCGGAATACTAACAACAGTTTCTAGGTAGGGAAGTATACAGGTGTTTTTTGCTTGCAGTTTTATTGTGAATTTGAAGTATTTCCAGATGAGCGGTTAGTGTGAGTACACATGTGCATGCACACGTTGGGCTTTATTTCTTGAATACGTTCCTTATCTTATTGCCACAGATTGCTAGTTTATTGTAATACTTAAGTGATTTTAAGATGCTAACATGATTGCGTACAATTACACAATTGATTTTTAAATTTCTTTTAAATAGTGCTGGGCCTAAAGGAGATAACATTTATGAATGGAGATCAACTATACTTGGTCCACCAGGTTCTGTATATGAAGGTGGTGTGTTTTTTCTGGATATCACATTTTCATCAGATTATCCATTTAAGCCACCAAAGGTAAGAATGTAGAAATATGTTTTTTAATATTCTTCTCTGAAATCTTTTTTTTTAAGGTTTATTGTGTATTACTATGATCATTTATATTTAATTGTGTTGCATGAGTTGATCATAGGGAAACTCAAGTATCGAATAATTTTTTTAATCGTTTTATCAGGGGCTCATACAGCTCTTATCACAATCCATACATACATCAGTTGTGTAAAGCACATTTGTACATTCATTGCCCTCATCATTCTCAAAATATTTGCTCTCCACTTAAGCCCCTGGCATCAGCTCCTCATTTTTACCCCTCCCTCCCTGCTCTCCTCTCCTTCAATCTACCTCTGCCTTTTACAATAAATTTGTAATTAGCAGAAAGAAGTTTTAATTGTTGATTGTTAAGAAAAAAGTGAAGCAAATTAATTTTGGATTTCGGATCACAATAAGGAAACATATCCTGTAATTCTTCCTTAAGCATTGGAGTAAAAAGTAAACCTATTTAACAGCTTCTTCAAATAAGGGATAAATAACTTGAATTTTGTCTGAATAAGTCATTATAGATAGCAGAAACTAGAAAACTCATTAACATGAGAGAGGGACAGTAGCTATTTTTCATAAATTCATTTTATGTCCTTAGTGGGTCACTGTAGTAATTAATGGGAACTCCTCCCTCGTTAGCTTGTTCATTTGGGGTAGGAGTTTTTGGAGAATGTGCTGAATTGTGCCTTGTAGTGACTGGTAATCATTTTTGCAAAGCTTAAACATAACAGTTAAACTGAATAGCTCCCTCTCTGCACTTTTCATTCTAAAATGGTCATGCCAGCAGGTAAAACTACCAGAGTTAAGTTGGAGTACATTATTACAGAGAAGTCTGACATGTGTGTAATGGAGTCTATAAATCCTCAATTATGAAATATTTATCTTTTCAATATGGTTCCTTCTATTCACTATTTAAAACCTACAGTACAATTTAATGCCAGTGTGTGTTCATGTACACGTGCATAAAATTTCAAGCATATGTGTATCATTTTTTCAAAGGCCAGGACATTCTTGCTTTAAGATCATTAACAATAGTTCCGCTTAGTAGGATTACTTCAAATTACAGATACAAAATTCTGTTACCCAGAAACAAACAAAAAAAATCCACACACCTCACTGCTATCGTATCAGTTCTGACTCATAATGACCCTGTAGGACAAGGTCGAACTGCCCTTGTGGGTTTCTGATACTGTAACTATTTATGGGAATAGAAAGCCTCATCTTTCCCCCATGGAGTAGCAGGTGGTTTTGAACTGCTGACTTTGCTGGTTAGCAGCCCAATGTGTACTCACTTAGGGCATCCCAGAGACATAGGCTTTTTTAAAATACAACTTTACTATAATTTCTGAATACTGACTATGTTACCTTTTGAGAATCTTAGATGCTTAAATAATGATACAAATGAATGCTCTCATATCTGCAGAATCCTGGCTTGCTGGACTGAATAAAGGGACAAAACTTTTGCTTTTTTTGATTGAAAATTATTTTGACATGGTGAAGAGTTAGAGAGATTTTATTTTATACAAAAGTCAATATGTAAGGGGAGAATTACTGAAAGTCATATTTTGAGTCATATTTTTTCTTCGCAACTTTCCATAAAAATAGTGATACAAGAGCATCAAAATATGGTTCTACCGATTACAAAGATCTACTTATAACCTCCTCCCCAGGGGATGGACAACAGAAAAGTGGGTGAAGGGAGACTTTGGATAGTGCAAGATATGACAAAATAATAATTTATAAATTATCAAGGGTTCATGAGGGAGGGGGAAGTGGGGAGGAAGGGGAAAATGAGGTTTAGGTGGAGAGCAGATATTTTAGGGGGAGAGCAGATAGCTTGAGAATGATGAGGGCAATGAATGTACAAATGTGCTTTACACAATTGATGTATGTATGGATTGTGATAAGAGTTGTATGAACTCCTAATAAAATGATTATATGTGTGTGTGTGTGTGTGTGTGTGTGTGTGTGTGTGTGTGTGTGTGTATATATATATATATATATATATATGGTTCTAAGCATCATTTTGGCTAAAAAAAATTTTTATTTTTTTAAAAACCACTGCCACCTATTTGATTCCAACTCATTGCAGCCCCATAGGACAAGTAGTACTTACTGTCCTGTAGGCTTCCGGGACTAGATTCTCATAGGAGCAAGAATGCTTCCTGTTTCTCCCACAGTGGTTGGTTAGTGACTTCTAACTATTGGCCTTGAAGTTAGCAAACCATTATGTCACCAGGGTTCCTTGTTAATATGATGGTTATTTATAAATTAGGCATGTTAAATATTTTTGCTGAAATCTCAATATATTAATTTTCAATCATTTTGCTCAGTTATCTTATGCAGTATTAAGTGTATTGAGATCTGTAATTGAATAGGTGAAAAACAAGCATGATTTCTATTATGGTGTAGGGTCTAATTTTTGTGCAGTACTGATTCATTTTGAAGTTTAGATAAAGGATTAAACTTTTTAGAAAACGATTATCTTCTATTACTGTTCTGATTATTGATTGTTAGTAGCTAAAAGATTCAAAGTGTTAGCTGTATTAGATTTCTGCACTTCTTTCATTGTTGAGTAGCAGCTGTCTGTCATCTGGACAGATTTCATTCCCATGTGTCAGAGCAGTGCTAATAGAAATAGAATGTGATTTACATGTGTGCACCTAAATTTTCTAATACCCCCCAAGTCAGTCAAATTACTTTTCATGCCTTATTTAACAAACCAAAGCCTTGTGAATTCAACACATAGTTAACATTAATGAGATATTTTACATTATTTTCTTGACGTTAAGCTTTTGAAATCTCTTGTTTTTAACACTTCTGCCCGTCATTTTTACTAGCTGCACTTTAAGAGCTTGTTATTCACATGTAGTTAGTGTTTACCACATTGGACAGAGCCATGCTAATGGCTCACCCTGTTTCTTTTGCATTAGACTAGAAATCTCTAATAATTTTTAAAAATATGCATTCCAAAGAGCAAAACACACTTTTGGAGAATTTAATATTTTATCTCGACTCAATTTTGGAGATCATGTTTTATAATACCAATTCCAAGAGATCAAAGACTGCATTTCTTTGCAACTCCAATTCACAAATTAACTACCCACTTAGTATTAGTGTTTGTGGTTGTTTCAAGACTCTTGACCAGCAGTGCTTCTTTTTTCTTCTATCTCAAGGGTAGTTTCCTTTGTTCAGTAACCAAGGAGCATGTGCATTTTATTTTACTATTTTAGTTTAACGAGGCAGTGAACCAACTATGTGGAAGTAAAAAGCTGAGTGTTATGAGTTCATTACTCGTAATCTTTCTTAAGTATTTTTTTACATGTGATAAGAAATAGCTGAATTGATACTCTAGTCTATAAAGAATGTCTTGTTTATCTTTATCTTGTTTTAAAAATCCTTTGGCTCCGCCTGACGTTTTTGTTCTCCTTTACTTTCTGTCTTTAAAATTCAGTTGTGTGTGTGTGTGTGTGTGTGTGTGTGTGTGTGTGTGTGTTGGGGAGGCGTACTAAAAGGTGGGCATACTTATATAGCATTACCATATTATTCATATAGATTAAACTAAATCAACCACTCACTTTTGTATAAAACCAATCTAGCTCCCTCTACTGGGTTAATACAACAACAAATTGATAAACTGAATTAAATAGAACCATTTACTTTTTGTTATTAACATAATCTAAGATGTCGGTGAGAGTTTTAATTGGTAAAAAAGCATTCATTTCTTTCTGTTTTTTAATATGACTGCCTTTAGGTTACTTTCCGCACCAGAATCTATCACTGCAACATCAACAGTCAGGGAGTCATCTGTTTGGACATCCTTAAAGATAACTGGAGTCCTGCTTTGACTATTTCAAAGGTTTTGCTGTCTATTTGTTCCCTTTTGACAGACTGCAACCCTGGTAAGCAAATATTTATGATGGTAACGAGGCTACAAGAACCAGTTTACACCTACTCCACTTATCAACAAGGCTGGGTTTATGTTAGTCCAGATAATTAATGTAAGAATTTGCATTCTGTGAAAATGGGTGCATGACCGAGTGAGTTGGAGGGTGATTACATCATTTCATAACTGCCATATTACGTCTTTACTTAACTAGGAGTCAAACCAACCAATGAGAATCATGGTTCAGCCAAGTTGGCACATAATCTTAGCCAGGATAGCCAGTGTTACATGCACCTCTGTGTTTGTTACATATGTCAGCTAATAGATCATTGACTAATGTTGTAGATGCAAAACACTGGATTCAAGATAACTGACAAGTGAAGCATAGGTGTGTTTACTTGGTAAGCTTAAATGTAGAATGATAAGTAAATGCTATTGGTTAAAAGATCAATGTGGTAAGTTTTGCAATGCAATTGTAAATATCTTTTATTTTGTGTAGTTTAAAAGTCAACCTCATTTAGTTTGCTGGTAGCACACCTCCTTCTAATTATTTTCTCCCATTATCAATGTAGTGTATATTCTAAATTATTTAGCTGTACAAATTACCTCCAACAGGAGTGAACAATGCCTCTGACATTTGTGCCTCTCTTTCACTCCTTCCATGCTTCCAGGTACTTCAAAGCAAAGCAAGTGCTTTCAAGCAAGCACTTAGTAGCGAGATGACCTTTTTTCTACTGCTTGAATTCATGATCAATTATAGTTACTTATATTAGATGTAGAAATAATTGATATAAAAATTATTGCTAATGAGAAAGTTGGAATAGATTTTGTAAACTCATTTTTTTTAAAAGAAATGCCTGTCGTATTATCAACTTTGTCATGGCCAGCGGGGCATGATGAAATGATGTTTAGACCTGGGATTTCATATATGCTGGCATACTGGGCCGTCCCCTTTAAAGATGTTGACATTAAAAAAATTGAATTGTCACCAAAGAGCCTATTACTATTACATTAGGCCAGCAATTTATACATATGATAAGTAATTAGGCATGTGTATTGATGCATATTCTTTGCAGTATCATTTATTAAAACAGAAGATTGGAAATAACCTGATGCAGCTATTAAAAAGAATGCATATGTTTGTCTAATTTTCTTCAGGTAGAGTGAGAAATGTAATATTAATATAAATGGGTATATTATCTTTAGAAAGCACAGGTATAAAAGGGGAACTGGTTTGCTAGAGAGAAATTTCTGAGTAGGTAGATTGAGAAAGAAGGAAGAGAGCTTTACTTTTTATGGCATTGTCTGACACAGTTCAAATACTATATACCATATATATGTATTTTAACTCTTAAAAAGTAATATTTGGAATTAAAGCTTAGGTCTTGAGTTCAATTCTGTTTAAAACACAATGGCAAATACATTTTCAAATAGGGATGTGGTTAGTTAATAGAATCGTACTACTGTATGGAATAAAATTTATTCTGAATAGCAGTTGTAAGCTTTATTCTTAAAATTACACTTTAAAATATCCATAAGAAGCAGAATCTGAAGCACCTAGGATATTTTGATTTTTGTATTACAACATAGATGTAATTTTAGTTTTTTAAGCCTTTCAATTTAGTAAAGTTCTGAACTTGTGCCTTTAAGACACCACATCATGCCTTGTCATCTTTCTACTTTTCAGCGGATCCTCTGGTTGGAAGCATAGCCACTCAGTATTTGACCAACAGAGCAGAACATGACAGGATAGCCAGACAGTGGACCAAGAGATACGCAACATAATTCACATAATTTGTATGCAGTGTGAAGGAGCAGAAGGCATCTTCTCACTGTGCTGCAAATCTTTATAGCCTTTACAATACGGACTTCTGTGTATATGTTATACTGATTCTACTCTCTGCTTTTATCCTTCGGAGACTGGGAGACTCCCAAACAAGGTAAATGCTGTCAAGAGTAGAACTTTGTAGCTGTAGATTAGTTATGTTTAAAACGCCTACTTGCAAGTCTTGCTTCTTTGGGATATCAAAATGTATTTTGTGATGTACTAAGGATACTGGTCCTGAAGTCTACCAAATATTATAGTGCATTTTAACCTAATTCATTATCTGTATGAAGTTATAAAAGTAGCTGTAGATGGTTAGGAATTATGTCATTTGTATTAAACCCAGATCTATTTCTGAGTATGTGGTACATGCTGTTGTGAAATGTTTTACCTTTTACCTTTGTCAGTTTGTAATGAGAGGATTTCCTTTTACCCTTTGTAGCTCAGAGAGCACCTGATGTATCATCTCAAACACAATAAACATGTTCCTGAAGGCTTAGTTTCCTGTCGTCATGGTTTTAAGTCAGTCTTGTTAGAAGGTGTGTCTGAGATGATTGTCGATGAAATAAAACTGCAAAGATAGAGTGACTACTAAGAAGTGGTATAAATAAATGAATTGCTAAATTGAAAGCATTTAAAATCTCATGAAATATGTAGAGCTTTTTCTGTTAAGTCTATTTAAACTCGTCTTAAATATGCAAAGCATTGGTCTCAAAACACTGTAGTAATATTATATTTCTGAATTATCAAATGCAAAGAATCTGAGCTGAAAACCATGAATCCTGTCCCATTCAGGATGGAGCATTTTGTTTCTGGATTGATGGTTTCTGCTCCATGTTGGGCATATATTGTCAAATAATAATGTCGTTCTGCTAGATGGTTTATGTCCATGATGTGCATTACCATTCTTACTATGGGACATGGACAGCAGACACAGGTAGCCTCAGAGTTCAGCACAAACCTTTGTCTGCCACAAAGGTAAGATAGAACTGTATGTTAGTGTGCAGGGTAGGGCCTTATTTCACAAATGAATTATAATTGTTAAATACTACATCTCTGCACAAATGTGCTGTTTTTTCCCCCAAGAGTAAGATAATGAGTCAATTCATGGATTATGTATTGAAGATCATGGAATATGAAGAAAGTAATCTTTCCCATTCTAAATGTAGAAATGGAATATTCTACTGAAGTTGTAGAATGGACTGACTTGCAAAAACACCCTGCTTTGCGATAAGACACGAAACGTGTAGTTACACAGACGTTGGCCTAGTGTAGCCACAGGTTCCACGGATGTGGATTCCACCAAGTGCACTTCAAAAACACTTGACAGGGCGGCGGAGATTGCCTTCAAAAAACCAGAATATGGTCAAAGCAACCCCCAAAAGAGTTTCCATTTTACTGAGTGTTCTACGATTAACCTAGAGATGACTAGCAGTGCTCAGGAGGTTATATTCACACGCTGTACCGTTTCATAGAAGGTACCTGAGTGTTGATAGGTCTAGAGGTCCTGGAACCAACCCCATGCAGATACTGACTGGATTCCAATTAAGATTCATGGACTTCTACTGAAGTATTTGTCCATGGAAACCTCAAGACAGGGTGAAAATAAAACTCCACTTTTGGTATGCCTGTTTCTCACCTGAACTCCCCAAGTCATCTGTTTTTCTCACAAAGAAACACCAGGCCAAAAGGTGCTATTCCAAAAAATTCAAGCTTACCCCTATAAAAATATATCTGAGTCTTGAGGGATAAAGGTGGAGCCCACTTAAGCAAGCTGTAAGGATGACCATGAGTTCTAGGTGAGCTGCAGAAATCCGTTGCCCTCCACTTCCAGGATTATACATTCTGTGTCTTCAGGGAATAAACCTGTCTTGGTGCTAGAAAAGTCTTCATCATGTGGAACGTTTGGATGTTTAGGGGCACTCTGATTGTATTTCCCTTGTTTCCTGTCATGATTACCACCATCAGCCTGCTCTGCTTACTCATAGGCTGTGCCCCTTGTTGTCAAGCTATCTGTTCCTTGGTGGCTTATATGAAAGAATTGCTCACCTGAAAATCTTTGATTGTTCAAACTGCGTCGGGAGCCTTGAACAAGATGCTTTAAGTTTCAGTTTATTGATTTATGAAACTGAAGGGCTGAAGTTGGTTGTTTCCCTCTTTTCTGTTAGCGTTCACACTTGCCAGTTCTCACCTTGCACGTTTTTGTGTGATCTGCTTTCTCTTTAAACCCAAATGAATTGGGTTCAGAGTAGGCTGGCCTTTGGATATGTAGACCTACCTATAAAATGAAGGAAGGAGAGAGTCAAACTTAGCATAGTTACAAAATAACAATGTGTTAAATTCCAAAGTTGTATTTTTTGGTCTTGTTCTCTTGCTGGGGAACAAAACAATACAAAACTCTTGATTCTCTTCTTAGTTAACACTCTATTACATTTCAAAGTTGTGTTTTTTGGTCTTGTTCTCTTGCTGGGAACAAAACAAAACAAACTCTTGATTCTCTTCCTAGTTGCCGTTGGTTACGTTCCTTGAAAGTTTGGGTTATAAATTATAATGTTTAATAACTTAACGCTTTTTCTTATCCCCTAAAAGTAAATTTTACAAGTTCAAAGAAAACTTGATAGGGGTTGAAGGATGACTCTGGATATTGTGCCCTCCTCTGAAGTCATGTTGCACTCTGTGGGCACCAGTGTACCTTACTTCATTTAGTAGTCCCTGAAGGAGTCCTGCCAGAGCTGCGGCCTAAGTGTTCCAGCATCACCGTTCGTATCAGTGGTTCAAACTCACAAGCCATGTTGCAGGAAAAAGATAAGGCTGTCCGCTCCTATAACCTTACAGTCTTAAAGCCTTATTATAGGGTCGCTGTTATTTAGAATTGGCTTGTGGGCATAGGTTTGAGTGGCTTTCTAAAGATTGTTGGGCAGCGTAAAATATTTAAGGAGCCATGGTAGTGTAGTGGTCACATATCAGGCTGCGAGCCACGAGGTCAGCACTTAGAAAACCAGTCGCCGCTTCAGTAGAAACAAACGGCGTGGTGCCATCTGCTTGTGTGAAAATCACAGCCATGAGGAACGGAGCAGCTGCGCTCTGCAGCATGTGCTCACCGCGATTCATAATCAAAGGCAGCAACTAACAAGTTTAAGAGAACAGTCTTGCCCAGGATTCTCAGTTGACAATTAAGTTTGATGCACTGACTGGTTCAATCACATGCCCCGGGTCACACAGGCAGTATGATGTTCTTTACCTTCGAAATTTTGTTTACAATATCACATGTAAATATTGAGCCATATGTTTAAGGATGTACCCGATTTGCTCTTTTTAAAATACAGGGAAATTAATTTTAAAATGAGATAAATGGCATTTTACTAAAAATTTTAGCATTTTTAAGGTTTAGTGATACCTTTTAAAAGTAATTTTGTTTTATATTTATTTAGGAGAAAACTTGGCATAGTAGTATAATTTATTTAACTGTGTATTAGATGGTCACATAAGGAAATTTGTATTGATAATATATATCAGGCATTTAATGCTTACCTTTCAAACAAGGTGTTTTTTGTTATCTTGCCATTGCGTTTCTAAAAATCAAAATCTTAATCAGTCATGATTCTGTTGACTCTTGCAGTTTAAAATGACTCATATGTTACCTTTTCTAACAACAATTTTGCGTTGTTTTCTGGTGTGAACCAAAAAAGAACTTACAGTTAGCCCACTAATATACCCCAGTGCCATCTTATAACAAGAATGATCATCAAAATAAACCAGTTCCACCCGACCACATTACATGTTAACCCACGTGGTTGTCAATGTTAGTCTGTACATTAACATTTTCAGTCAACATTGATAAGTTGTGGTCTTTGGACAGACATATAGCATGATCTGAAACATCAATTACTGTTTTAAACCATTGCAAACAGTTTTAAGAGCCTGAGATGATTCTACAATATTTGCATTATCCACTTACTATTTCAGTTAGTGTTCACTTTGTAGATAGATATACATTTAAATAAATGTATTTATTTCGATAACCAAGCAAATCGTCGTCAAGCAGCTCCCAAATGTTATGAATAATTCATAATTACACATTTGACATGAAGCAAAATATCAGCTTTTCCGGATTAAGTTATTCATTGGTTTCTTGTGTAATGCCAGTGTTGTGTCTGATTGGATAATTTTACTTAGTGGACTGCCATGCCTTTCAAACTGATTGCAAAATAAATTGCTGGACCTGTTTGTAATCAGCATTGCCAACAGTTTGGCCTTAGTGGTCAGAAGGAATCCGCTTTGTTCTTTAGAAATGCCCCTTTTGCCTCCCTGACTGTAACAGGTGGGAAGCGCTTCCCCAAGGGGAGTGTCAGGGGTGGGTCCACCAGTGGTCGCTTTCTTGTTTAGTTTGGACACATGGGGTGATCTCAAAACGTGTGTGGTTTCAGTAGTTCAAGTAGCTATATGCCCAAGTTGATTTTTAAATGACAATATCTAATACTGTATATTAATCAAAACAGACACCGAGAAGCTGAGTTTTTAAAATTAGAAAACAAACAACAAACCACCCAGATAAGGCAAAGGACAGCATAAAAAAGCCTTTGTCATTAATTAGCTTGAGTGATGTAACCGGTTAGTCAGCACAGCTTTGGGGCCCAGTTCTAGATAGGCTCTAAAATAGAAGTACGATGTGCTGTAGTTCAGAGCCCAAGCTGCTGCTTAGAAGAAAGAGGAGGCTGTCTGCTCCTGTAAAGACGTGCTGGTCCTGGGGCGTCCCAGGGGCTCACTGGCTGTTAAGTTTCATCACACAGCAAAACGTCTCCTTGTTTGACAGTTCTGGGGATGACTAGTGAGTGTTCAGAAAAAAAGACAACGTCACCAAATCTTCCCTCGGTAGGTTGCCCTTGTTGACATCTGGAGAGGCTAAAAAGTAATCCTGCAACTCTGCTTAACACAGATCACTAAAAGCTACGTAGTTGTTTTTTCAATTTTTCTAATCCCTCAAATGTATCTCCAGTCTAGCTCCTTTGGGGAAGCCTTTTCCTGTGTATTGCTCTGGTGCACACTACCTTTGTCTTTCTGTTGCTCTGAGACACCATCTGCACCAACAGTAGAAACAGGTCGGATGAAAAAGAGGTCAAGCATACGCATATTTCCAAGTGCCAGCCACCGGCCAGGTCCCCTTAGCAACGATGGACCTGAAGCCCGGAATCTTTTTCTCCTTGAGGTGTGGCAAAGGCGGGGTGGGGGTGGCTGTGCTACCCCTTAACTGATGTCCTTAGTGGCTTTCTTTGTTGTACACATGTGCTTTGCTAAGTGCCCACCCCTTTCTGGCTCTCTGCACACTGAGATGAATACATCCTTAGTTTGTCATTTTCCTGTCCAGATTTTACCCACTCTGAGCAAAAGAGAACACTTCTTTGCTAATATGTATCCATTTACTGTTGATTGAGAAGTTGAACAGATGTCTCTGCTGATTTAGCTATGAAAATATTAGTATAATATTTCCTAAGTTTTACC